TTAAGCAGTAGTTAGAAGGTAATTTTATTAGAAAAATAATTAAAAATATTTGTATATAAAGATAGATAAGTATTATATAAAAAAATAATAAATTTTGTAATAAAAATAAGAGAAGAAAAACATATGAATTAAAAATTATATTTAAAAATAAAAGATAGAAACGTTATTTTTATTTTTTTATTATAATTTTAATATATAAAAATATATAAATAACTTATTAAAAAAATTTAGATAAATTTAAAAAGAGAAGTTTCGCCCAACCAATGAGCCCTTGAATGTGAACAAGGGAAAAAACGGTCATGTCGCTCCTCTCCTCTCTGGAGGCTATACTATAGTCCCCTTTTTTTCTTTCTTTTTTTCTTTTACGTCAAAAGATTCACTGCATGTCACAGTCCAAATTTTCAAAGGGAAACAGAAGTGCTGCATTTTCGTTTTGCCTAGTTTTTCATTTGCTACTTTAGATGATTGGACCATATAATTAAAGATATTTTTTCCATTCTCATAACTCTAATTTAATCTCAAGGAGAGTTTAAATATGAAATATAGGCTATAGTTATGGTGCTAATTAATTTTGTTAGGATAAACCAAATTTTTATTTTAATTTAATTATTAAAAATTATTCATAATTGATAAAAAAATAATTAATATTTATTATATAATAAATTTAAATTAATTTTAAAAAATGTTTTTAAATATTATAATTATTTATTTTAAAAATTATAAACTAATTAAATTATAACTAAAATTGGACCTGAATTTCATAACCAATAACTCGATATCTCATCATAAAATGTATCTTTAACCCTAAAACTGAATTTTGAATACTTCTCCCCGAATTGTAATCCATCCAAAAGTATATATATAATTAAAATTAATAATCTTAACGAAATTAACAACAACAATAGTAATAATTTAAAATTTTAAAATTTTAATAATTTTTAGTCATGATTTTGACATTTGATTTGACAAGTAAGTCAAGATGGTTCAATAGTAGCAACTGCGGAATATTAGACCCCTACCCATAGTAAACAAAATAAAAGAATGATTATTGTGAAAAGGCCAGAGTCCCCACAATCACGTATAAAAAATCTGGCTGTTTCCTCTTTGTTTTCTTTAATGAAAATCACAGGCTGCAGAGCGGAGCCGTCCAATTAAACCGCACAGGCACTAATTAAATCCATGCATTGGTTGTCTCATACCAACTAAGTCAACAGTTTGCAGTTTTGCACCAAATGAGTGGTTAACTGGTTAAAGATAAATAAATAACCAGATTGCATTAGTCTAATCCCAGAAGTAGTTACTAAAATGAGGATAGCGTCGAGTTCGGTTGTTTTTTTAAAAAATTTTTCAGAAAATTTGCTTAAAAATTTATTTTTAATTAATATTTTTAAAAATTAATTATTAAATTAAAATTTTTTATTTATGTAAAAATAGAT